ACGCCAGAATTTACAATTGACATTGTTCAAGCCGCTATCCAGCCGCAGCCCCCACACCCGTGCTAGATGCAGGAGGGTCCACTGCTTTTGTTCGGAAATTGCAAAACCACACGCTGGGCGCCTTGTTTTGACTACGTGAGTCTCGAAGTCTTGGCCCCTGGATCCTTGCTCAGTAGATAGATCTTGGCGTCAGCAGGAAAGTAGTGTGAAGACTACTTCTTCTCCTTTGCCTTTGCTTCCCGTAAAGCATGACCATCTTGCTGCGAAGGGTGGTGGACTGTTGGTTATATAGCTATCAGTATACACTATTTAATAAGTCCCAAAGTTCTTTGGAAGTCGCTCTTTTATGTAGCACTCATTCGTACAATATCACACCATGATCCGTGGCCGCAGCTTGGGGGCGCTCTGCCTAGCTTGCTTAACCCATGGATGCTCCTCATCAGGCAAATACTCAGACATCCTGAGGAACTCTTGCTCCGAGAGGTAAGGGACCCAAGCAGAGCCCGGGTCCGTCCCAAGAATGTCAACGTTGTCCATTCGTGCTCGCTGCCACATGTACGCGAGGAGGACCCATTCTGCTTGTCTTTTCCATGCTTCCACGGCCGTCTGGAATCGAGAACTGGTAAATGCTTCGAAGAGCGTCTGCACAGCTGGTTCCTTTTCCGATGCGTGTTCCCTGAATAATACTTGGAATTCCCTCAACCGAGCCTCATCGCCCACATCCACCATCTGAACAGGGGCATCGCCCAACAACCCAAACAGGCCAGACCTCAGAGCCGCTTCCCTAGGGATATGCAGAGAAACCGCCGCCATGGCAATGTCTAGCCTGCTTTGACTTTCCGCGCAATATGCAATGTCAGCCACATCATTATTTCTTCCATTGTGATAGAGAAGCCACGGGCTGTTGGACGCATCCGCGCCATCCGCGCCATCCAACAGCGCCTTCAAGCTAAATGGGTGAATGATCTCCGCCACAACAGACGGCTGCATCCCCAGATCCTCTGCCCGCCACAGGAACATGGCGATCGGACTTGAAGGGTCGTCAGTATTTCCCCAGACATTGTAGCGCAGTCGCATCCAGTTGAGATGCAGCACATCCCGACGCGGCTGCACCCAGATCGACTCCAGACTCGTTGTCTCTTGTAGGTCCAACCAGCGTCCCTCTTCTAGTGTAACTTGCCGCGACTCGCTGTTGACGAATGCGATGGCCGGCGGCTGAGCGTTTTGGTGCGTTATGCGGTTGGCCCAGCAGGCTTGACGCGATTCGTTGCCGTCGAGAAGGAAGTTGGGGGTGTCTTCTTCTGCTATACGATGCGGTAGGCAGTGCGTCCAGATAAGACGGCGTAGTTCTAGAGGCAGCTGCGAAAAGTAGTGGAATGAGTCATTGTTCATCTTGACGCTGTAGCGGTATCAAGAAGTAGATAGAAGATGCGATCACGGGTGTCGTAGATCTGGTGGCCCTTGGCCCTAATGGTCGGGCCGATCCTGGCCCGACCACCGAGAGTGGTTTTCTGCCCTTGGAGGTGACAAAAATCATGTATTAATACTCGACTATAGTACTGCATGACTCTGGCTAGAGGGTCGGATACGATGTCTGTCGTGGGTTCAGAGTCCTCGCTTTACAGGTAATCGGTAGACCTGAGGGCGTCACCTGGCACACGACATCTGCTCTCTGCTTTACCCTGCTTTTTCATCTCTTTCATCACCATGTACTCTGACATCATCATGCAACTACCTCAAGGCGCTGAAACCTCATTGAAGATATCTGATCAATGGCCTGTTATGCACGAGTGAGCTCTTTGAATATCCCCGGTTGATGTTGGTTTGCTCATCCACTCTACCTCGAGTGACTTGGCGCGAGCTAATCTGATGGCCCGCCTCCAAGATTTAGGCGTTGTCGTCCCAACCCTGGTTGCAGATCATCGACTTGTGGGGTAGAGGTCTTCTGATGGAAGTGCCATTCTAAGACTCATGACTTTCTGCCAAGCTGCCAACACAGCTGAATTATGCCCATTAAGGGCAACAAAACAAGGTCTTAGCGAAGATGGCCAGCAAGCATCCACACAATAGCCGACTGTCGTCAACTACCGTTGGGCTCACCGCGGAGAAGTTGATGGCATAGATTCTGATGAATCCCCTTTATCCTGCGCGCTTTCTTGAGGCTAAGGCCTTCTGGAAGAATAATAGTCTGTGTGATACCGCTAAATGACCCGGAATAATTGATGATCGACAAAGCAACCTTACATACGCAGGGATCCCTTGCGCGCTTTGCCATGTGTTGCGATTCTGATGGACGGCACTTCTTCTAAGCCTAGTGGCATTCGTCGACTTACTATCTTCTGCTTCTCAAGTAGAGAACAAACTCGCCCGCTGGACTGCTGGGAGTCGGTCCGAGTCACATGGTACATGAATTTCGTCGGCGTCTTGTGTTCATATTGGACAAACACATCACTGTTTATTTGTTCGACTTGTCTGACTTCCGAAAGCGTCTGACACTAGACCATGCATGGCATTTGGATGTCTCGATTATTGTGATTGGCTTGAATGATACCGACCGTCAGGAGACAAGCAAGGGTCTGGTGTCCACAGTGCACTAGTACTTGAGGCAAAAAATGCCATCCCATTGTAAGTGCGTTTTAACGAACTAACATGGGAGCCTCTTGCATGTGACTCCTTGCAGTAACTATTCGTTCACCATTAATTTCACCAGGTCCACCACAGAGGCCTCGATCCTCATCACCAATAGTCCGAGGGAGCCACATTCCTCGGGTATGGGCGGGCTGCATAGCCCTTGCGTCGCTCCCCTGATCAAGTAATGCGCTCTCTATGTACCATCTGCAGGTCACAGTGTCGGAGCATATTATCCGTGTGCCATGGTGAAGGGTCATATTCCTGCTACTGAAACAAGACTTGATCGATGCCAGTCCCCACAAAATGATCGGCAGCTCGGCATCGGTACTTCTCCACAACTCTCATGCTTCGATTGCCGTTTTCGGATATTCTTGAGTCCTCAGATGATAGTGATTCGGAGGTTGTCGCATTCGCTTTCCAGGGCCATCTCGTCTGCTTGCTCCGCCGTACAGATTACAGGGTTATTGAAATTCCTCGGCTCTCTAAGATCCACGAGGACCCAGTGACCGAGTGTTACAGTCGTATGGACATGAGTCTCTCGGCCGTGGCTCAAAACGCAAAAATGCGCCACTTCAGCCAAAGGATGGGCCAAACATGGTTCAATATTTCTGACTATTGTTGTTTATGTTGTGAGCCAGTAAATGTCCGATGATACCAAAATGTTGTTTCTACAGCGATCCTTGCCTAATATGCTGCATAATGCGCCCAATGTCCAGGCCAGCAGACCCAGCCGCTATCTCAATGCTCGAATCCACTTGCCGCATACTTGTCGTGGGACGATATCGCATGACTGCTGATTTCGTCGAAGAAAAACTGAATTGTGATAGTTGTCGAGGGACAATTCAGTCTGAGAATGCCGTCCTCCCTTTCTTGGCAACACCAAGAGCATTTGAGTATAAAGCAATGACGCATCCCAAGCTCTACGGACGTAATGTAGAATTCTTTCTTGCGTTGATCCCAAGAGTGATCGCCATACTGTGAGTCTGGGGCTCGCTGATACAGCAATTAACCTCGACGATCTCTTTCTTTTTGTCCATCCATTCTGCAAAGCATGTGGGTTACTCGATCAACATTCTGGGCCCTGGGCCTTACCATGACAGCTGTCTTTGCTTCCCCCGTTGAGAAGCGAGCCAGAGGGCCGTGGATGGCAATCAATTCAGACTTTCCGGACCCTAGTTTTGTACAGGATGCAGAAGGGGCATGGTATGCCTTTAGCACAAACGGCAATGGCAAGCGCATCCAGGTGGCTAGATCCGACGATTTCAACACATGGACTCTGCTCGACATAGAGGCATTGCCAACGCTTGCAGGGTGGGAGACTGAAATAGATCATTGGGCTCCAGATGTTATTAGAAGGGTATGTATGCTCTCTAGTATATTTCTACTCAACATCTGCTGATTTACGCCCAGAACGATGGCTATTATGTTATGTACTATTCAGGCGAGGCCAAAGAGATGGTGAGGCATCATTGCGTGGGCGTTGCCGTCTCTAGAGACAGAGACCCCAGGGGACCGTATGTGCCGAACGAGATGCCGCTATCATGTCGGCTGGATCAGGGAGGCTCGATTGACCCGGCGGGATTCCTCGACAAGGACGGTAGCCGCTACGTTGTCTTCAAAGTAGACGGCAATAGCATCGGTCATGGGGGAGACTGCAACAACGGCGTTCCTCCTCTGGTATCAACCCCGATTCTTCTGCAGAAAGTGGGAGACGACGGCTTCACGCCGATTGGAGATGCCGTTCAGATCCTCGACCGTGACGATACCGATGGGCCTTTGGTCGAAGCCCCAAATCTGATACTGCACGGTGACACGTACTTCCTTTTCTATTCCACCCACTGTTTTACGGACCCCAAGTACGATGTGCGATGGGCCACCTCGAAATCGATCACAGGCCCGTATGTCAAGACTGGTCAGAAGCTATTCCAGACCGGCGACTATGGACTAACCTCACCTGGTGGAGGTACCGTCTGTGGATGTGGTGACAGGATGCTCTTCCATGGGTTCTGTGAGCCCAACAAGCGGTGTACATATGCTGCAAACCTTGCCATCAATGGCGATCAGGTTACACTTTTATGATTGACTGATTGGGTTGGTAGGTATTTTGTGGATACTCTTCTTGCAATATTTTCTGCCCCTGTGGGCTATTTATACATATATTACATATTTTCTACAGCGATATCCTTTACGATGATCTCAATGATATCAGTCCTAGGATTTTATTCTTGGAGTGTATTTAACTAGCAATTTTTCTTTGTTTTTAGCAAGCGTTTGTCAGTTGAATGAGCTCTCAGATTGCATGGTGATGCTTCAATCTGCTTAACGTAGCATTTCATGGCACATAATGTTGTGGGTATCACGGGTCTATATCATTTAGACTGTTCCTTTTCCTTTCGTTTGGCTCGAACACTTCTCACCCACTCCTCGACCGCGTTGATAGCAGCCTCCGGCTCATTCTTGTAGTTGAGCAGATGACCCTGGATCTCAGCAGCGGTGAACTCACCCTCTGGGATGCGTGATGCAAACTCAGATGCCAGTTCTTCGATCTTTTCTTTTGACAAGCATTGCCTCTTCCGCTGAGTGAGTGTAGCTTCGACATGTTGCTTCTCCCCTTGTCCTGACGCCTTTTTAACGGACTTCATCCTGGATCCCCGCGCATCACCCTCGAGAATACTGTAAATGGCCGAGAAGAGCTCGCGCATGGCATCGCGGCCAGCGTATCCAAAAGCAATAGTCATATCGACGCGTCCTGGCCGGAGAAGAGCCGGATCCAGCTTCTCGGCATGGTTGGTGGTCATTATGAGGATCCGGCCCTCGCTGGCGGCGACTCCGTCATGACATTGAGCAAGCCCGAGAGCGAAACGCCCTTGTTGGTGGTCGTTTCGGGCTCCTTCTCCTCAGTGCTGGACTTGCCCTTTTCCACGAGCACGGCCGACGCCGTGGAGTCATCCTCCGCGCGCTTCTGCGTGATCCCTGCGCTGTCGACGTCCTCGAGCAGCACGATACACCGCCGCGGCAGCTCCGAGAACAGCGACATCAGACTGTCCTCATCGAGACTCTTCGAGTTCAGACTGAGCAGATACAGCGTCAAGCCCAGCAGCCCGCTCGCCGCAAAACACAGACTCGTCTTGCCCGTGCCCGGCGGGCCGTGCAACAGGTACCCCCGGCGGTACGGGATGCCGCGATTCGAATACCACCGCCTCGTCCTCGGATGCAGATACTCCTTGATATCGTCGATGAACGCCTGCTTCTGCGCCTCGTCCAGCACCACCGTCGACAGCGGCCGCGGCGGCCGCGCCATGCACCGCACCCAGTCGAAGCCGTCCACCCCGCTCTTCTGCCCGCGGTAGATGATCGTCCTGTTCCCGTCGCGCGCCACATACGCCCGCTGCGCGTCGGCCAACAGGTCCTTGAGGATGCCCGGGTCCCGCCCCAGACACGACAGGTACAGCCGTTCCGGCACCCACCGCAGGCTCACGCCGCCGTTGTTCTCCTCGCGCTCCCGGATGAACGCGAGGGGGCGTCCCTTGTACCAGAAGTAATGCGTCCCTTCGGCGGGCGTGAACCGCAGCGTGCGGTACTTGTCCTTGCTGATGACCTTTTGCCAGTACCGATCGAAGTTGGCCAGCATGTCGCTGTTGTCGGGGCCGTCGTCCTCGCCGATGTCCTCATCATCCGACCCCTCGCCGTTATCGGAATCCCAGTACCGCATCCCGCTGCTGATCTTCGTCCCCGCGACGAAATGCGTCGTCCGCTTCGTGAACGGCTGCTGCGCCATCCAGAACATAAGATAATTATAGATTTCGTCGTCGAGGCGGATCTCCGCCGTCGAGGTGAAGTGTTCCCCCAGCAGGCGGACGATTTTTTTAACGCTGTAGCGCAGGGAGGCGGTAGCTGCCGCTGCCATCACAAGGAAGGGCAGGTAGTACGATAGGTCGATCTGGAGGTAGGAGACCAGAAAACGAGAGAGGACAGAGTAGCCCGGTATAAAGGCGTCCAGGACAGCCGTGTCGATGGTGGTGGCATTTCTGCTACTGTTGCTGATGTTGTGGTCCAAATATGAGGCCATGTTCGGCACAGCCATGGACGCGATGGCGATGACGATGAGAGGTCAATGAAACAAGAAAAAGACCAGCTGTCTTCATCGCTCATTATATACGTTTCTCAGGCCTTTATATGCCGGCAGCCTTGTAGGTCCGCGCAAGTTGCACAACCGGAACGGTAGGCATCAACAAGGCTGGGCCCACAGCAAGAGCCTCATAATCGTAAGCCTCATGCAGAAAGGCCAGTGTCACTGCGGCGTCATTTTAACTGACTGTGCCGCGCGTATGACTCCATTCTAATGTGTAAGAGGCTAGGTTGACCTTGTCGGAGATCGAGTTGGGCAAAAATCGGGTGGGCACTGCGGGGAGACTGACTCATTGCTGTGGAGCCATTCGACAATGGAGATGCGCCGCATCAGTTGCCACGGCTGATCTGGCGGATGGTCCACATTTATAGCGAGCAAAGTTAGCGATCGGGGTTCCAAAATGGGTTTGGTTTGGCCACTAGTCCATGGAGATGGGTTAGTATTTACTCATGCTTCAAGGGTGGATTGAATATGCATTCATCTAACAAGCAAAGGGGTATCTAGATTATTAGTCCGACAATAGTCGGCTCTATCAACATGGAACGCTCCAGTAAATGAGACATCAACGCTTCTCGAATATCCGCCGTCTATCCACATTTACACGATATTGTCCTTGACGGTCTCGATTATATCACTCGCCCAATTCTTGAGCTCCTCAACTTTGCTCCAGAGAGTTCCCCACCAAGTAGGGCCTTGCTCGTCGTCGCTCTCGGGTTCGTTTTGCGGCTCCGAGTTGGACTCATTTTCAGACGGTGAAATTGGCTGAACAAGAGCTGTTGAAGACACGCGGGATGAAGTGGAGGCCGGTGTCATGGTCTGCGAGACTAGGCTCACGGCAGCGCTGCTGACCAGAGGGTCCGCAGGTTTGTCGACAACCGGCGCATCTTGATCAGAATGAAGGCCCACTGGTTGCAGAGGAAGGCGCAGCGTTCCGTTATTGGGGAGTGGATCAATCCCCAGAGAATCGCAAACCAAGTTATACACGTTGATATTCTCTGCACCCATGTTAGCTTATACCCGGATCTTTCTGCTGTAGAAGAGGATTTGCTCACGGAAAACTTCCAACCGGCTGTTCGGTGGATGAGGAAACGCAGGGCCCCTAGCAATGAAGATTGCGCGCATCAGAGGATGCTCATGGTCGTAACCATGGACACCCTTTGGACGATAAACTCTTCCAGTTCGGATGGCCTCTTGAGCATCAAAGTCTGGTCGCTCGACGATCGCCCATCCCGTCTTAGGAATTACCCAAAGTGGAGCAATTCGGTCATTGCGGGAAAAGTGATATCGCTCAGGCATTGTCTCCCGTGTGTAGACTTCCACCGCGTGTGGATATTGTAGCGTCAGGTTTTCCACCTGATTTTGCAACGTCTCAAGATCCTCAGGCTTTTTCGGCCGGATACCGCGCAATGGCCATCCGTCAATACGATCGACCAGACCAAGATCAATAAAATCATCCAGTTGTATCAATCGTTCCGTAGCGGTTGTGGCCATACCATGGTCAGAAACAATAACAAGATTGACAATATCGGTCAGATTGCGGTTTCGAAGGCCCGACATCAGCTCAGCCAACATGCTGTCAACCTGTGATATTGTATTTCGGATCTCAGTACTGTTGGGGCCAAACTTGTGCCCATCTGCGTCAACATTGGGAACATATGCAGCGATGAACTGTGGTCGCTCGGGGACAATCAAGGACCCTTCTTCTGCGCCTGGCAAGTCAAGCAGCTCCAGAATCCGATCGACTTTTCGGGAGAGCTCTTCTGACCCGTTATACTTGTCCAAATATGTTGGGTCCACGCCTCCAATGTGCGCTTCGGAGCCAGGCCACATATGAATCCCGGTTTTAAGGCCGTGCGTTTCGGCGGTCATCCACAAGGGTTCGGCATTCCACCACTTAGGCTGCATGCTGATTGACTGGTTGGTGTAGTGGAAATTCTCCTTCAGGATAGGATCCCAGAAAGTGTTGCTCACGATACCGTGACTTTCTGGATATAAGCCAGTGACCAGAGTGAAATGGTTCGGAAATGTGACGCTGGGAAAGCTGGGGAGCATATACTGTGGCGAAACGCCTTCGGCGACGAGCGCCTTCAGTGTCGGCGTGAGACCACGATCGAGAAAGTCCGCCCGGAACCCATCGAGAGAAACTAATATGGTGGTAGCACCAAAGAGAGCGGTGCCGTTGGAAAGCAGACGTTGGGGAGAGCGCGAAGCCCGGAAGCCACTTGAGGCTTTGTATGCACCCAGCAGGAATATCAGGAACAAAACCAAGACCGCCGCAAAGACCAGTACCAATTTGGTCCAAGAAATTCGCCGTGGCTACAGTGGATTAGCAGTTTGAATTGAACAGAAACGAATCAAGAGTCCACCCTTACTCGACTATCCGCGTACTGCTTCTCCAATCGCTGGTCTAGCTCCGACGAGGAACCGCTCAGGAGCGAGGATTCGGACTCTCGATAGCCCTCTTCCATCTCGTACATTAGCTCTCCATTTTCTCCTGCAGCACTACGACGACGCCGTTTGCGCTCATCTTGTCGCTTCCTCCTCCGATCCCGATTCCGCTCGTATTTCCCGATCTTAACGCTGCTGTCGTTCGGGCTGAAGATCCGTCGCAGACCATGAGTTGGCCCGCTTCTGACCAGCAACTTCTCCATCTCTTCCTCCTCGTCCAGTACTGTGCGATCATGTTCGGCCAGCTCTAGTGTAGTGCGAGACTTGCGAAGGAATTCGTCATCGTCGGAGTCAGAGTCCTGCTCTGATAGGGATCGCAAGGAGGCGGCGTCATCGTCGTAATCACCAGGGGAGAGGAGGGAGGGACTGAGAAGATCAGGTCTCGGAGGCATGGCCGTGCAGGTCCTTTGTCAGGACATACACAGAGTAGAAGTTGCAGAAATGAGGGTTCGAGTGTTGATGGCGACTAGCATGGACAATAATGATCGCCTCAAGTGGCTCCTCAGTAATGTCGAAGTGGATCAGGTCTACCTTACCTAATACAGATTAGCGCCTCTTCCCCTCTCCACTCAGTCCTCTGTAAGATCGATATGGAGAAGAATGAGCATATGGACAGGTAGATAAGTGGTGTCTATTGCAGCTCAATATCCGTGTCTTGCAATCAGATGCTTCTAGTTTGATTTGGACATGCTCAATTCTATATCAGCAGAACATGTTCATGAGTGGACAGGAACTCTTCGGACACATGAGGCTGGCCACTGGCCTTCACAAGTCCTCTGATGATGAATGGCTAGAGTTGAGCTGTGTTTCCAAGGCCATGCAGCAACATATCCATCGACAACGTGAAGTCATTTGTTTGTCTATGCTGGTACAATGATATCCATCGGTCATACAATTTAACATAAGTATGCAATAGGCCGCCGTCTCATACCGCCAGTCTATGCTGTTCGCTATGCTCTAACCATACCATTGCAGTACAATCGGCTCCTGTCCTCTTTTGTCTCTGTCAGTTGCATGAAATCCTTGAATCGCGATCAGTTCTTGGAAGAAGATGCGTATATGCTCACTCAGCTGATAGGAGCTGATTGCGGGGAAGTCGAAGACGCAGTCCAGGGCATATTCCGGCCCTTTCTGGCTGGGAGAGCTTCTTTGGACAGCTATACTGGAAACAAAGGCTTATGCAAGGAGTTGCTATGGGTGATCTGAATCCGTTCGTTTGTTGTTGGCAACACTGTTTTCCGTTTCCGGCGATGAGAAAGATAGGGTTGAAGAAGCCCTGAAGCCGTATATCACGTGCCACAACATTCCTCTAGGAGGCGATCAACTTCTGCAGACAGTGTTTTACAAGGGATTGCGCCTAGGCAGCTTCTAGAAATGGACAATCATGTGTTTGTCTCAGTCTCCTGCTCTTCCAGATGCAGTACTATGCTTTCCTCCGCTTCTGACGACCAACCTATTCCAGGAATAGCGCTTTGATTGAACGAAGACGAACATGGACATGCTTGATCATCGAATACACTCGATGGCAGCCGCATTGAGGGGCCTCGTTGGTCTATAAGAACCCCGAGACTCCATTCACCAGCTACCCTCGACATCGTTCAACACCTGCTATCGAGTCTATCAAGTATCTACTACCGTGACCCTCAACTGATTTCCTTGAAACTTCGCGACTTGGTTGCCCCAGATTATTCTAGCACCTGTACTTCATATCGCAGACTATCTCTACATCTGTTCTCCACCACACATCATAAACCAAAATGCGTGTCTCCGCTCAGATCATCGCCGGCCTGGCCCTCGCCGCCAGCACCGCCAACGCAGGCCTATACAGAAGAGCTCACCAGACATCCACCAGCAGCGAAGTAACCACTATCCCAACCGAAACAGCCACTACGGCCACCCCCGTCATCGATAAAGACACCTCCGCCACCGAGACCAGCACCCCCGCAACAACCGAGAGCGACGTCCCCACTGTCCTCTCCAGCGCGGATGCCCCTCCCGCCGAGACGACAAGCATCCCTCTCATCAAGGCCAGCGACGCCGCGTCCTCCTCCGACGCGGCTAGCTCTTCTGCCGCCGGCATCACGACTGCCCCGCGTCCCAAGGCTACCGGTACTGGCGACTACGTTGGTCTCGTCACTCCCAATGAGGAGTCGACCAGCAGTCGCGGCCACAGCACTGGCAGCACCACCAGCACCACCAGCAGCACCAGCAGCAGCGGCGGCAGCAGCAACAAAGACGACGGCGAAGAAAACACTAAACCCACCACGTCCCGTCATACCAGCCCTGGCTCCACCCTCGTGGTGCCTGGCCTCGCTGCTCTGGGTAGTCTTGCCATTGGCCTGATGGTTCTCGTTTGAGCGGAATCGAATTGTCGTTGACTCTACTTTGGCAATGTTAGTGAAGGAGATTAGAAACTATCAAGCAGGCGTTGGTTTAGCTCGAGGGCCAATCTGTTGGACAGTCATACTTGGCGTCAGGGATCTCTTATAGATAAAGCAATTCGAATTAATGGTTAATTGTTAGATCGAAAGTCCAGCTTTTCTCTACATGAACAACATCATTCTGACAAGACTCCAAGACACACGTACATATGATGTCAATAACAATGACTTTTCTCTAGAGGTCGCCTAAAATCACGAAGTAGAAACCCAGTTCACCCACTGGCACGAACAACCCCCCGTCCCCCCATCGACTCCATCCAGCACCGCACCCCCGTCCGACGAGGAGGTGAGGTTGAATATACCCGGCGCAGGGTTGACCAGTTTCCCGCCGAACCCCCTGTCCTCAACCTGCAGTTTCTTCTCCGTCGAGTTGACACGTTGGTTCTCCTCCATCGCGTAGCAGTAGACCATTTTCTCCTTTGCAACACCGCCGTGTCGGTCCACCGTAATGGTCACCGGGTACGGGAATGACCCCGGCCGGACGAAGTCTGTGGCGGAGGAGGATGCGCTCGGGCTGCTCGTCTCTGAGGCGGGGAAGGTGGACGACAGGGAAGATGGTGTAGGTGTAGGACTAGCACTGGCGCTGACGCTGGGATTACTGCGGAGGAGTGTCTTGCGCGCGCGAGTCGGCTGCGTCCAGATCTGCACGAGGAAGCGAGTCTGTGCCCATGTGCAGCGGACGCGGGCGTTGGTCTCGCTGGCGCCGCCGTTGGCGTCTGCGGCCGAGTTGTCTGTTGTGCTGCCGTTGAGAGGAGCAAGGCTCTCGAGAAAGATGGAGCGGTCGAAGTACGTGTAGAAGCCGTAGTGCTCTGTGTCCAGGCCCCGGTTGTAAAGGCGTACGGGTTGGGATTCAGGCAGTGGATAGAGGGTAGCGGCTGCGGCAGTGCCGTCGGAGTTGAGATCGGGAGATGGGATGAGGGACTCAATGTCTGGGAAGGAGCTGTTGGATCGGCGGGACAGTCGGGATGAAGAGAGGGAGGCGGTCGAGAGGATGGTGATGAAGAACGGGGTCTCTTCGCCTGCGTAGGGGATGGCGTTTTGGTCGGTCGTATTGCCCAGGAAGGTCTGGTCTTTGATACTGGGGGGCGATGGCGATGGGTTGAATGATCCACTTGTATCTCTGGTTCTGTGGCTTGAAGTGTTGGCAACCGTTGTGCTGTTCGCATAGGTCCCGTTACGGAATCGTATCTCGACTCGGAAGCTGGGCTGATTCGGCGCGTACGGCTTGTTGGCTGACTGCTCTTCCGGCGGCAGAGCGCAGCTCCAAAGTGTGGATGGAGTGATGCATCCTGAATTTTGGGCCTGTGCCTCTGAGCCTGCGATTGTCGCAATGCCAGTCGGCATCGGTGGATAGCCGGTCAAATTAAGCCACTGCGACTGAACAGGTGTGCCATCCCCTTTCCTGGTCAGCATGACTGCGAGGACAACGGCAACTACCACAATCAGGACAAAAAACGTCGTGATCGCCATATACCACCGACGTCTCAGGCGCCCTTCTCTTCCCGGCCTTCCGAAGCAGCCTTTGTTGCTGAAACAGCCTCTGCCTCGCCAGAGTCCACCGGCTTTCCTGCCAATAGCGTCCTCCTTTTCCAGTCTTCGTCGTCGGGTTTCGATCCTCTCCCTTTCGAACCAAGGGTGCGTCATCTGCTCTCGAGTGACGGGGACAGGGTCCATACGAGGTGGCAGTGTAGGAGATGCGCTGCGATGGGCGGTATAGGCTGGAGCTGATCCAGATGTCATCTCAGTCAATGGAATTGACCCACTCCTCACTGTTGCTTGTTGTAGACCAGGAGACGTGGCATCAGGGGTTTGTGGTTGGGGGTGCCCGCCTCCGCCATTATTCGGAGGTGGCACAACAATATATTGAGGGATAATCCTCTCCTGTGGAGCTCCAGAGGCTGGGGGTAGAGGTTCAGGTTGTTGGATGTTAATGTTTATTGCCGCAGGAGTGATAGTGTTCGTTGGTTGGAAGAAGAGGTGGGAGGCTTGTTTCTCCGGTCGATCCACTGCATAGTTGGGAGGTTCTCTCTCGAGGGGTTCTGGTTCAGGAGAGCTGCTTCTCGGTCCTTCTGGTGTGGCCTCCTCCAGGAACTTCTTTCCCGTGTTTGAAATCAAAGGAGAAGCGGGTTGGTCATCCACAGCGGTCGTCCCGGATATCGAACGAGCGCCAGAATGCGAGGCGCTCTCAAAAGGATTCACAGAACCTAAGCGAGACACATCGTCATCCACGTCAATAAGGAGATTCTTCTCGTTATTCTGTGGCTCAGCAATAGAACCGGCAAGAAGAACCGGGATCCTATCCTTCGGCGTGATGGAACAAACATGGTTGATGCATTCGAAGTACGGCCTTCCGCTGAACAGCTCATGGGCACATGCCTGGTAGTATTCAGCAGCTGCGCCCTGGATCGTCCCACCCTGGAACATCATCTCGGTTGTTTTCTTCTCATCGGTGGTATTGACATGCATGGAGTTGACATCCGCGAAGGGGTTAGCATCTCCCTCATGCCAATTCGTCACTTCGCCTCTAGTAGCAACGGTCGTCTCGGGGGTATCTGGCGAAAAGTACGAGACTTCCTTCTCCCACCACTCATCGCTTGACACCGTCGAGTTCGTGAGGAGCGTCGGCATAGGAGGCCGCTCCGTTCTGGTCGGGGTCGATCTACTGGCTATCGTGCTCGACCGTCCCAGCATAGGCGAGAGGAGATAAGTCCACCAGCCCTGGGATTGGTGTCGATTAGTATCCGTCATCACACTCAGTCGATCCAGCCCTCTCTTCGAGCTCTCCGTGGAGAAAGCACGAGCACGCAGTCCCTGTCGCGGACCATCGTCTTCCTCAAACACGGTACCAGTTGAGAATGAGCGTTGCTTCCTTGTTGACAGGACAGACTCCCTCCGAGACCCGTCGGGCTGACTCCCCTTCTCCGCGAAATGGGACGCCGGTATGGCTGGAACCGGTGGTATCTCAGGTCTGCCATTGCCGATGAATGATGTGCGCTGAGAATAGATACTGGAGGTGGCTCTGGGCCGGTGAAACTCCGGAGCAAGTCCTTGCCAGAAGCCCTCGTCTTTCGCAGGAGTTACAACAATCGACGGCGTCATTGGCGTACGCTGGCTTCCAGCACTGTCCAGTCCCTTTGCTCCGTCATCTTGAGTTTGCGTCGACTCCTCAAACGGTACCGTATACCCGATCATGATGGGCCGGTCAGAAGGCGACAGCTCATCCTTGTACTTCTTCTTCTTCTTCGGCGACGTCGTATTCTCCGACCTGAGCCAGGACAACCGCCTTCTCCCCGGCTCGGAAGCCTCGTCAGGTAGGCGCTGGAAGCCTTGGGCCGTCCCATTCTTCAAGATGCCTCTGATCTTCTGCGAGGCCCGTTCCCTCTCACGAACCTTTGACAACACCTTCAGATCATTCAGATCCACAAACGCAGGACCCGCCGCCCCAGCTTGTACCTTGGGGACTCCAATCGGGAGATCCGTGATTAAGTTCAACCCCTTGGGTTTATCCCCCTGCGCCGCTCTCCGCACAGTATCAAACACACCGATTTCGCGTTCAACCAAGCGATCTCGCCCCGCGCCGGCGGATTCTGCCTTAAGGAACGGGTTCTTGTCCGACATTTTGGACAGGTAGTCGAAGGGACGACTCCGTTCCATCTCTCTGTCTTCGTCTGAGGATGCGGCTGGGCTGGAGATCTCCTCAGTGATTGGGGACGATAGTGGAAATTTTGGAACTTGGGGAATCTGCAGCTGCATTTCTGGCCTTTTTGGTTGAGGGCCCATCTCGTCTCTTAACTGTACGAAAGCGTGTTAGACTTGAGTGACTCTGTTTCAGTATATGTTTCTGCAGTCCCATGACATACCAGGATAGACTTCAATACTTAGTAGCAAGCCAACGTTGTAGGACGAAATCCGCAGGAGTGCTCAGAGGAAGAGCAGGCAGATCATCTGGATGGGTTCAGGCAACAAAATCTCGCGAGTATAAGAGACTGAACAAAGCCTATGCAAGAAACCAGTGAATAAAGAGAGACTATAACCACTGAATGAAACAACGCAACAATGAACCCGCTATTGTTCTCATCACACGGGAACAATGAAGAGATGCTGCAGATATGAAAGAGAAAGTGCTCCGAAGCAAACAAATAGAAGTCCAAGTACCCTGCAAGAACAAACCAGACGGATGCAAGGAAGAAAAAGAAGACCAGAATGCAAGAAGCTCTGCAGAAATTGAAAAGCTACCTTACTAGCGATGGATCTAGAGCCCATGCTTCAGGTACCTGCCTACTACACCAATGAAGTATTGTGTTGATCTCCTCCCTCGTCGACGCACGACGCAGGCAAATCTCCGAGCTCCATAGCTGCTACAGTGACTGTTGCATTTTGCCGGTCCAAATCGCCTTGATTGGACTGAGGCGGACTACCAGATTCTGCAGGATGAGGTTGAAGATGGGATTTCGAAGATACCATTGGGTCGCTGGGGGTCCTGACGAAGCTGTAGCCGCCCTGCCCTCAACTCGGGCCGGGCGCTTAGAGAGAAGGATTGGCACGGTTATTAGAGGCAAGAGTGCCAATCAGAAGCAAATTGTCCAAAAATAGAGCCAGGAACGCATTTGATCTTATTCGCAGAGACTGAGTCTGCCGGAGGAGTCAGCGTCATGGCGTAATATACTCAGATCTATCGTCTGCATTTTGTCTGTTTATTTCCGAAGACTTGTCCTATATCTCATACCTTATACAAAACCCCCGAGGAAGGCTTCATGTTGCTATTTTGAAATTTTATTCCGTTTCGACAGATCATACAGAAACATCGTCAACCCCGTCGGTCGAGTCCTTTGACGGATATAGAAAGATGCCATCAAATGTATCCCATACCCAAAACCAATTGCTCTTGGCGGATCCCATGCAGAACGAAGTAAACATGTCATGATGAAAAAAAAAAAAATAAAATAAAATAAAATAAGACAAATCGATGGAAACAAGCGAGAATAGAGAAAATTGGGGCGTGCAAAAAAACAGTGGTCCGTCGTTGTAGCACATACATATCCTCACACAGTATTTGAGAAACTATATCATGAGATCAAAGAACGAAAATAAGAATGGTAATCGGGGTATGAATTGCCCTGGGCAAAAGTGATAAAAACAAAAAAGGCCAACAGACAAAGCCTCGCTCAGAACAAGATACACCACCCGAATGAGATCTACAGGCGAGTACATACTGTTTCAGATCTAGAGCCCAGAGTCAGAAGAAAAGAAAAATATCAGAAGTATGTAGCTCGACGCGACACAAAATCGCCGCTATGTTGAAGGTGGGGGAATGGTATCAAAATTCAAATCAAGGGCCTTGCTAGGATGACAAGACTACCGACGGTCGTCGGTATATTGCACTCCCTGCATCGGAGCAACGGAGCCATTCACTAGTGGAGGTAATGTGCGTGGTTGATCTTGCATCATTGCAGAAGAGTTAGGGCCATAATTAGAGAAGGCCGGACCAGGGCCATGCGACTGTCCATTGGCCTGTGGTCCATTCATTGGGTGGTGCTCGAATATTGACGGAGGCCGTGACTGTTGGTGTGCTTGTTGTTGATTCAGCTGAGCCCGCATCTCTTCAACCTCGCTCCTCAACACGTCGTTTTCACGACGCGCACTACTCAACATCTTCTCCAGCTGTCCAATGTACTCGATCGCTAGATGCAAGTCAGTATAAAGGCAATCAAAGAAGCGATGACAAAACCAGTACCTCTTGTCAGGGTTTCCCATTTGCTGGATTTGTTGTTTTGGCTCTGAGGTAACCGCATGCGCAAAGCCTCGAAGCAGTCTTTCATCTCACTGCGACGTTTGCGCTCCGCTAACTTGTGAGTTACTCGCAGCTCGGGCGTGCGGCTATATGGAGTACTGCTGGTGGGCGGCTCTGGGTCTCCGATGAGATCGCGTACTTGTTTGTGCTGCAGAGTATGGTGGTGGACATTCTGAGGGAGTTCTAGAGGGCAGTCAGCAATGTTGGTTGCATGCTAGAATTGCACTATCAGAGAACAAAAAGTATAAACCTACCATGTTGGCCATGGGGCAATCGCGCATCCGAGTAGATACTACTAGCCAGTGATTCGGCCGTGCTTCCCTTCCTTGAGAATGGATGATGAGATTTGTCGTTTGTGGAAGACATCGAATTGGATCGCGCAACATCCGGGTCGGGAAAGGCATAGGCAAGACCGGCGGTAGGCGTCTCTGCAGCATAAATTTCGGAGCGAGGATTTGATGAAATCGCGGGAGCAGTGCGGCCAGCCGCAAAGCTACGGTGCTCCCCGGCTCGCGGTCCGAGTGGAGAGAGGGGCTGGCCCCCTGAGTAGCGTGGTCCTCGGTATGAACTGTTCATATTTACGTCCATGGAAATTCCACGTTCCCTCTGCAATCCCGACACAATTGATGTCTGGGAGGCGTTTGTGCTGTGGTAAGGTGAGGCGGGATTGATGGCCAGGGAGCTGATTCCCTGATTCATCCTACTATCAACACTACTGCGCCGCGATTCGGGTTGTTCCGCAATGCTGCCGCGTTGAGAAGGAGCGTCGAAATTCTGGTTGAGGGATGGAAGGGCCGGATTTGTTTGGGAACCAAAGTTGGGAGACGGATGAGCGCCGGCAGAGGAAGGGGTATTCGTGTTCGAGTGGTCATTCGGGTAGGGAGATCGCTCGGAAACAGAACCACGATTCGGGGACGGTTGAGAGGAAGTGAGGAAGGACAGAGAGGGATAATTGCCGGTTCCGTTCGTCGCCGTGGAGTAGATGGATGATCCTGGTATATTGTCAGTGCCTGACATGGTAGATGTCGAACAAATAACAATACTTGTGCTTTGAGGCATTGACCAGTTTCCAGAGTCGCGTTCTATCGTGTTCAACGATGCATTCCCTGGGGACTTCTCTGCGGGAAGAGGTATGTTGCTGGTCATACTTGCGGTGAGAGTCGAAATCGAGGGTAATGTTTGCGCAGAAGAGACCGGAGCATTCTGCGGCCCTGTTGTGGTAGGTTCCCACGGCCGATGGGTTAAAGTGCTTTCCATGGCGGACAACGAGAGGTTTCGAGTAGTGATAATGGCGAAAATTCGTGGTTATTCCGATGATGGCTTATAAGGTGTGATAAGTCACGTTGTTTAAACTATTTCATAATCCGGGGTGATAGGTCACGTAAACACTCGATGGCTGGATGGCAGGACTAATATAGTCGCAGAATGAAGAAAGGAGTAATGAAGTCAATGTGCTAGCGACTGTCGGCACAGACAAGGTTTGGAGAGAACCCGAATGCGACGGAAACTGTTTCACGCTCGATATATCGAAGTATGCCAGTCACGCTGCCAAGGTAGAGTCAACTCCGCGAGGCTAATTCTGAACGTCGAGGGTCGCAATCCGCATATCAGCTCTCAATTTATGGTAACAATTCAAGTGATCACGATTGGTGAAGTTCGGGTCTCCTTAAAACCGCTGTCCCGCTCGGCGATGCGACTTGGGGGCTGTTTTTTTTCAGTTGGCGCAATCCCAGGGCTCGGTCGTCACGGCCGACAAAAAGGGCGCAGCGCAATTGAGACCACGCAAAGAAGTATTCCGCAGTGCGCAAGACTGCGAAGTTCAAGTCGAACAGACGAGAGAACAAGGAGATTGTCGAACGGGTGGTTGCGTGCAGGCGGGCCCGTCGTTTGTGGTCAGAGCGATGCTCTAAGTGGTCGGCGGGAAGGACGAGAGGTGGAGGACGGTGGCAGAATGGCCGGATCTCAGTAGTACCTACAGTCGAGACCACCGGCGCACCAAAAAAAGGGAACAAAGAAAGAAGAAAACGACGCTAGACTCGTATACTCGGACAATATTCCTCTCTCTGGATAAAGTCAGAGTCGCGTCAGTTTGGATCGACAGAATTTGCTAGAGAAAAATGGGGGTAACCAATAATAAGGACAGTGGAAAGGGCAGCACGATCTTCAAGCAATCGATCGCACAAGAGCTTACCTGTTGCGAAAAGTACAGCGTGCTCGGAAGGTCGGAAGGTGTGGTGAAACGTGGCACAGGGGAGGTTAAACGATGAACAATTGGGCAGTAAGAGCGAAGTAGGGCCAGACCGGCTGTAGAACTCTTTTTCAGACCCGTCCGTGTAGATACAAGCCGGGTGGATGCGAAGAGCAAATACTTTTGACGAGGAAGAGGGGAGGGCGACAAGATAGCGAGGGACGGGAAGAGTCGTCGTTCTGACTTTTAACAGACAGCCTTGACCCGAGAAAATGGGCAAGCAGTAAAATTGGGACACCTAGGAAACTTGGCTCTCTCCTCGTGTTTTGATAGTTTGGATTTGGGAGTGGATTGGGGCAAGTCTAGCAGCGGGAACTATCGATCAGTGCCCGGGCTAGAGCGTTTCGAACTTCGAGTGAACGCCGGAAAGAGGAAATGGAGCAAGAAGGGTTGTAAACTCTGAAGGAACGGGGAGGAAAGGAAGGGCTGGAAAGTTTGGTTCTGATGGCCACGAGTTCTAGTTGAGACGGCCGAAAAAGCGGGGAATGGCAGAAGGGGTTTGCAGTAAATGATATGTATATAAGTTATGATATGGAACGAGGGAGGAAGAAGAGGAAAAATGGTAAGAAAAATGGCTAGCGGTGCTGTGTAGTAAGTACTTCTTTGGATAGTAGTAGTCGTACTAAAGGCAGACTTGTGAAAGAGTAGGGGGGGGTGAAGACCTCGTGGCGATGGTTAGTGATGGATGAGGAAGAGGAGGATGTATGGGGTAGTATGCAGTGGCAGCGGCTGCAGCAGTGGTGGGACTCTATTACTACGTGGTAGCGATAATAGTCGCAATAATCATAAGTAAGACACCACAAGCAAGGAGAGAATGAAAAGGAATGACGAGATCGAATAATCCATCAGATAGCATCATTCATTCCCTTGGAATGCAAGCCCCCTTCCCACACACAAGTCACATCCCACCGAGTCTCTACATTCTATTGTATGATGCACATGAATCTATCTATCTTCGTTCTTTTTCTTTTTCTCTCAGATTGGTGCCTATTGCTATGCATCTATGATCCAAGTTCCAAAATCGCTCCTAGGATACATGACAAATGTTTGGCTCAAAAAGTAGAACAGCAAGCCTGATGTCTTGGCATTATTGCACGTACTGTGTATTCAAAAGGGTCCATTGGGCCCTGTCACCAACGACCAAATACATAAGATTTCGTACAAGAACGACTATTATCTGCCAAGATGACTGGTAATCGACCATGAATATTCTTAGTAGCTAAGCTTGAACGAGAAAAATATCAAATAATATCTAGCGGTCTATCTGATGAAGATAGAGGCCCGCAATCAGAAAGTTTCGTGGGGCCAGCCAAGCAATAGATGTGCACTAATTCTGCGAGCAACGAGGAACCCACCACCACGAGGTAACCGCCTCTGCTGGGGTTGGCAGTCACAAATCGAGGCCTTTTGGGATTCTGCTGTTTCTCGGGGTTCGTCGTAGAACATGGCTGGAGGTGCCATGACCATTTAAATACTGGCGTTTGAGTGAGGTGCGTGATCAAATGCCAGGGACAATTCCCGACTAGCCCTATCTAAATCCTAGGTGCTTACTCTAGGTGATTAAGCAATGCATAGATAGATCAAGAAGATTAATGAATTGTTATCATATTCTATCTATTTAGTTACCTGTAATCACCTCTAGTCTGCGTAGATAGCATAGTCCCATTTCTGGTCTCATAATCACTGTGCATAATAAGTCCACTATAAATCGTTCGCAAAACGTCGACCGGAGCTTGCCTGACTTAGGCAATTGTGGAAGCTGTCTTAGGCAATTGTCACGTAGATCTTACCGCACCCACCTTGCAGTCCCGCATCCACCAAGGGAGTCGGTTTGGGTGCTGGTTGACTTGCCCCACCTCCGTCTCTGAGGGACTCGGCGGAGACGATGAACAACGGGTTTGAAGCTCTATTTAAAGTCTCTCCAGGTCAACAGTTTAGCCCATTTTTCATGAGAGCAGTGACAATTGAAACATCAACTGTCTTGAGTTCAAACATGAACTGATGAAACTCCAAAATTCAACCTAAGCAACTGACATCGGCGAGCTGCCCCACCGCACACCACACATAAACTGCTCCGGAGACCATGAGCGATCTAGAGTCCGAGATCCATAGAACGGAAAAAGTTTAGTCTTAAGAGAGTCTTTCCGTCGAGGTCAGCAGGGTCCCAACTCAGCTTAGGTAGTCCGGGAAGTGGGGCCCATCAAGGACTGACTGACTGAGCCAATGCAACCTAAGTAGTGGTACAGTACGATAGAACGTGCACGCCCAGTGGAAGGTGTGAAAGTCCCCATGGATCGGCCCATAAGGGTGTTGACAGCACGTTGTTAAGTGATTTTATTATTTCAACAGTGTATCGAGTCTCTTCGAAGAGTGTCCTAGAGGATCAGACTATACTTATAGGCTGCACCTTTGGTAGATCGTATGTGCTTTGTAACTGCGGCAATTACATCATGAAGTTGAGTCGATGCATCACTGGAATTCAGGTTGAGGATCAGCTATATCCGTATTACGAGATACTCAATTTTTACATAATCTGGAATAAATTGTATCGGCGTACATTTAACCGTTTGTGCAGCATAAGAACAAGGATCTGCTCAGTCCGCATGAGTCTATGACACATGAGCTCTCAAGTCCCTCGACCCCCGACATTGACAAGATGGAACCTACGTATTTCCTCTTCCCAGTGAAAGAATATGTAGTTGAGGGCGAGACGGTGATCTTGATGCTGGCCAGATTAACAGGTCACTGGCCACTGGCTATCTGTCTACTGCTTACCTTCAGCTAGAGAACTAGCGCTCCGTAGCGCTTTCACGTGGCTACAGTGAACGATCGCCCTCAGGGGTCCCACGCTTTGCGAACTGCCCTAAGCGGTCTAGTGGGGACACGATCAAAACCGTGGCAAGTGTGGTGGTATTTGCCCCGGAGCAGAAGAATGGTCCGTCCGTCCTTCTCCTTGCAGATCAGAAACTTTGTCAAGTACATTTTCAACCTATGGAATTGCTGCTGGGGGGCAAATGTGATGGATCCCTGAATTCCTTTTTCTTTTTCTTTTTCTTTTTCTTTTTCTTTTTCTTTTTATTCCCTTCTTCGTACAGGAAAAGCGTATTAAAACCGTTGTGGATACTTGGACCAAGGCTGAGTTCTGAGTATTGAGTCCTAGTGACTGCGGCATAAAGCGCCGAGGGACGCACCAGCGACCGGGGGCAGGGACCAGCTGCCAGTTGAGTGTCGAGGTGCGGCTGCTTGCGGGTGGCTTGAGGAGTGTGGACATCATCGAAATATGAGATCTTGGCAGTGTCTTTCTCATGTGCTTCCGTACTTCCGTATTTCCTCTTCATTTTTCCACTTCATTCTTTGGCTTACGTGTTAGGACTAGGTTGTAGGAGTGGCAGTGGCACATGTTTTGACTTTCCAGCAACGTACAGACGGACACATGGCGACCATGGTGGAATGATCGCCGCTAAGAAGAGCCGTCTGAGTCTGGGCATTCGAGCATTCGACGTTGCAGTCGTATTACCCAGCCACTCGGCTTCTGTCCTCCGATATTTCACTTCATTTAGTATTTCCATTATTATTTTTGACTCTAGTGAATAATCAGATCCATGCAATAATAGGGCAATCCTCCCTTGGGAAAATATCTAGACATGCCCTGCCGGGATGGAATGCGACCATCACCATGCATTCTCTGGGCACATGTGGACCGCATATGGGATGGATCTGTGCTTCAGGTTGATACATGTTCTTCTGCGACAATAATCGCTTGTTTGATTTGCCCTCAGCAATATTACAACTAAGTTACGGCGCGTACTGCAACATTTTCATGGAGTATCAACCCTGGATAGGTACTCCGTGCCCTGTACTGCACTACAGTGTGTCTACCAGACGGTTTCCACAGGTGGCGGCGCTTATATCCTGGTTCTCTTTTCCTAAGCCCCACGTCGTCACTCTTTGCAGTCCGAGACTGAAGTCTTAGTTGACAGCCCTTGCTCAAGATCCCGGTTGTCTTTAAATTACTCCGTTGTATGATTGTAACATCGCACTTAGGTAAGTCATAATGTAATAAATCTATGCTCAATCATGTGAGATCCATAGACAAAAGAACTGAGGATGCTTGATGTATGTGAAGGAGTATGAGCAGCTTACAATAAGCATATTTCCCTTTTGGGAAATGTGTGGTGCTGACAGACAAAGAAACACCGACTCTTGCATATGGTCTATCTGGTATCTACAGAGTAAATGTAGCAAACCATGCCATTGCCATGGCTGATCAGACCTGTCCACAGCATTCAAAGACATCCCCGTTAGCGTGCACCATGTGCCAAATCAGATCTGATTGACAGCCCCATGGTAGCACTCGGAGTTTGCTTCTTCTCGCTGCTGCATCATTTTTTGCCCCGAATGATATGCCTTGCAACCCTAACCATTGGTCTTATTCTCAAGGACTATCCCGTCTAAGACCTTACAAAGCAGGCCGACCGAGCGCAAACAAGACAGATTGGCAGGTAAGCCAAGATCGATACTTATTTATTCATTTCTTACTTGGTAATCACTGCGCAGTGCCGTTATCCAAGGTCCTGTCCCTGGTCGTCTGTCCCTTTCCGTCGCTGATGTAGAGACTAGTTTATATTTACACGAATCCAGGCTCCTTCTCCATGATCCATGCATCTAATGATCCGGCAAGCATGGCTTCTATCCGTTCTCCGTGGATTGAAGATTCCGTCCTACCCTACGGATTACTGCGTATGTGTACAAGATATCTGATGAATGGTCATGGCCAAGAAGATGTGCGGGGCTGTACTTATGTCTGACTACCTCCCCCCTGTCAGCATCAGCATCTTACTTCGTCCTCCTTAATAACTATCGGCTGAGTCTTGAATGATGGATTATCCATGTGCTTACCCGCCAGCGACAAGTGGGCTCATATGTGGGTGATTTGCGCCGCTTCTTCTGCAGCTTACTGGCCGCAGCACCCAAGTCCCGTCTTACACCCGTGTGACGGAACAGGGGTTGTCCTGACTAGTTCAATATCGGTCCCCATCGCTTGATTAACGTTGATCAATAATCAATCAATCAAATAATCAATCAATTCCACGGACGAAAATCGCTTACCGATGATCGTCCAAGGCCGCCTCGCAAGAACCCTCGTTTGGGGACGTGGTCGTTCATGCCCCCCTGTCCAATCGGCCAACGGACCTCATCTATTCGATACACCGTCCAGGCAAACACTTGCACCTGCCATAGCGGGCTTAGGTCTGATTCTGGCGCCAGGGGATCCGTGAGTTGAAGGCAAGGCATTCTGCTGTGGTCTACTGTCTAGTCACTGCTCGCGCGAATAGCAGGGATGGCGACCGGCGAGTCAGCTTCTGCATTGACGGAGACATTGACGGAGACATTTGACGGAGAGCGTCTTCGGCAGCGCAGAGATTGCAGGGGTATAGATACTCCGGTGTAGGAGACTTACTCCGTCCGTTGAGTCTGGACTGCGTCAGTCATCGGTACAACATGACCACGACCACGACCATGCACGAGACATGACACAGTAGACTGTCTCAGACTCCACATGCGAGCTGCTGCGGGTTGGACACACCACTACCAACTCCTAACCACTATGTCAAGCTCCACGATAGATACTCCATATGTGGCGTCACTACGCCCCTGCAACTGATCTTCAGCAATGTTTCAATTTTCAGATGTGCTGTGCTGTCATCCCCGTCGATTTCTCTCCGAGGTCTTCTGATGAGAATAGATCGAGCACGAGGACTATGATGCCGATCGACATTGCAGAAGAAGGCACTAGATATATGCACAATGCGTCGAGCGATAATTCAGCGCTGATCGGTTGTGCGCGTGCTGTGATTCGGTTTTTGCTTGTGATTGACACCGACTACAAAAATGCCAAGAGCATCAATGTTTTACGTGTCGGCGTGTTAGCGTGCGATTGACCAAGTGTGCAGAGTATGGCGACAGTGTGGTGTCCTTGGCTCTTGGGAGAGGGCTATCAGTACCACGTGGAATGAAGTCTGTTGACAGAGGACTAGAATATCACTAGAGTATACTTGGGGGTAGGCTGGAAACCGTATGTATTACCACAGCGTGGATAGTCTACGAGCGAGATGGCTATGCTGTGCTACAGACGATCAAGTCTAAGCCACGAGACTGGCTGATCAGATAGGCAGCAACTTATTGTGTCTGCCGTGCAACCTACTTTTGGTATCCAACGTTGTATTCAGAATAGACATTTGAGTATGTACAGTGCTCGCTTAAGAGATCGTCACTTTTGCGGGGTCTATTCCTCGTCATCATTCTCGTCATCCTCATCGTCCTCTTCGTCGCCAAAGTCGACGCCCATTTCGCCGGTAATGTCCCACCGGTCTCCCTTGGCCGCGGCGCTAACGTACTTGACAAACTTGAGAGTGCCGCCGTCGCGCAGGACGATGCTAAGTCGGTTCCATCCCGCGGCGGTGCTGAAGAGGATGCCATCGTCCTCGTCCGCCGCGGCGGACTTGTAGATGGCTGCGTCGCCGTCGTCTTCGTCGTCGCCGGCCATGTAGATCTCGTAACCGCCTACCGCAGGTTCGTCCGCCGCGGCAGGTTCCTTCGCCTTGGATTTCTCCTGCGCCTCGCCGTTCTCGTCTTCCATCTCTTCGTCCTCGTCCGTTTCCTTCTCCCAGCCGGCTGTGGGTGTCAGGCCCAGTGTGAACTCGAGCCGCGGCTCTTCGCCGTCGTATCCGCTCGCGAGCGTGTAATCCTGTCCGCGGCGGAAGCGGCGTGCCAGGAGATCATAGCTCGTGATGTGTTCAGCACCGATAATCAAAGCCAGCCATTTACGGAACGCCGAGGAGGGGAACAGATCATTGAGCAGTTCCTGGATAGGAGTTTTCTGGTCCGATGTGGCGGTCCCATGCTGCTGGAACAGATAGCGCTGCTTGTGCGGCGGGCGAGCAACCGTCCATTCGGTGTTGGCCTGAATCTCGTCGGAGGACTTGGGAAGTTCTCGCTTCTCTTGCTCTTCGATATAGGCCCGTACCCGCGCAGCAAACTTATCGGACAGGAAACGATCAAGGCTGAGTGAGGACTCGTTCGAGAATGTCTCGGACATTTCCTCGGCGATGTCGGGCGTCAGGTAGGACGGCGCAATGTACTGGAGCAGAAAGTTGAGGTCGGATTCGCTGAACTCGGAGCTGGGCTCTTCCTCCATCTTGGCCTTTCCCTTGCCCTTGACCTCCGGCTCCTTCTCGCACACGACCGGCTTGGCCTGGGGCAAATCGTAGATGTCGCCGCGGCCCTGGAGCTGCGCCAGACTGCTTCGCTCCGCCAGCTTCTCCTCCAGACCCTCCTCGTAACCATCCTCTCCCTTCTGTGGGATATGGAACCATCCACTGATGGCCATGCGCACGCGCTTGGCCGATCTATCTTCACCCTCCTTGGGGTGATACACTTCCTCGACGTCATGGAAACTCTCACCGGGCTGGACGGTGAAGAAGCTGAGCTGGTTGAATGCCGGGGGTATGCTCAGACTGAAGTCAGGGCTGGGAACTAGGACGTCCTCCCCGTTGATGTCCTTTTTGGTGGTAGTAGGGTACAAGCGTAGAGCACCTCCCCATTCTGCTTGCCAGGGAGTGTCAGGATCAGTCAGGTACAGAATATAGCTCAGACGGCGGCTTCCGATCACGTCGTCATGGCACAAAAGGTGGCATCCCTCGTTGTAGACGTTGATGGCCATATCGGTCTTGCGCCCGCTAAGCTTGCCAGAGCCCGTCACGGCCGACAAGTATTCCCGGAATCGGGCAGAGTACAGGGAATCACGCAGCTTCAGCAATGAAGGTAGCTTTGACAGAGAAGCATCGTCCAAGCCGTCCAAATTCGCCAGATCGCCGGACTGAAAGATCTTGTAGATATCGGTTTCTTTCTCGGTGAAGTCGAGGTGTTCTTGGATCTCGTTACGGACCGATCGCAAAAGGGAATCCTCAATTAGGGGATGAATAACTCCATGCTTGTAACTTGCTCCTGTCAGCGCCTCTGTACCTTTTCTCTCAGTGAGCATTCAAGCGAGGGGATACCTACGGGCCAGACTGGGCGTATGCCTTGGTATACTTCTGCTGCTCCGAGGGCTCGAATAGGCCATCGCGAAAGCGCGCAGCCACTTCTTCGTTTGACAGTGCGCGCTTCTTGGCCTCCGGCTGGCCATTGCCATTCAGAGCCTCTCTTGTATCGGTCTTCCGCTTCATTTTGCAAGTATATATTGATACTTTTATGGAAGAATTATGGGAGTATCTTCTCAGAATGGACGAAGATCACCTTATTCCCTTTTTTTCGCTACTTTTTTAAAGGCGGTGAGGAAATCGGCCAGATCAATCAGGCCATCCATTATCCATCGACCGGCCCATTGATAGTCCCACGGTCTGTCTTAGAATGTCAATGATCTGTTTATTTTTCGATAGTAAAAGTGATTGAAGAAGGCTCAGAATGACAAAGCCAAAAGATATCCAATCTGACCTTATATTAGATGTTTGTTGAGGTGTATCGCTCTAATGCGGCCTGCAATCAGCCTGCGATAAAGCTACAAGGCCATCAATACCACTCGGTAGATGAGAAGTCACCATGACCTGCATCGCTTTGGCTTGATAAGAATAACCTCACTGCTCATTTTGCTTAATGACAGCGAATGGTTGCGCCCACGGGTAGTTAGAACACCATCAATAGCTTCATCTCTTTGTTTATCAACATCCACTCGGTCGGCGAGAACCGAATGTCCGAATCAGGCAGAAGCGGCAAGACGTCATTCCCTCGTTGTTTCATTGTTCGGTCAGTCATCACTTCTGCAACACGACATAGTATCTACCCCTGACGCTTTGCCATTTCAACCAGGCCAACTCGTCTCTATGTCTGCCTCTACAGCATGAATACCCTTCTTTGATTGAATTGAGAACGGTACTATGCAGCCAGCGCAAGAGAACCACGAGAACGACGATCAGCCAGGCACGCCGCCCCGCCCGCCTTATTCCCCAATGACTCCAGTTCTGTCGCATCTCGCCCCGGCGAACGACTCCGCCATGACAAACGGAGCCTCCCATCCCTTCGCACCCCCAGCTACATCGCCCTCACCTACTACTCCGGCTCCTCCCTATGCATCACTCTCCAACTTCCCAGGCACACAGGGCCAGGTGGTCTTTGGTCAAGAGCCCGCGCCCGTGCCGATTTCGGAAAGTGAGAACCCCGATGCGATCGCATTGCGGTCCGCCATTTCTATCCTGCAACTACAGAAACAGCAGAGTATACGAGATATACAGACATTGGAGAAGTTGAAGAAAGTCGCTGCTGCAGATCCGGAAGGGTTTGCGCGCGAATTGGCCGCGGGGAATCTCACGTCAGCGAAAGATCAGGGGGCTTACATCAATTTCACACATAAAGACGACAAACCGGTCAGCGACGCGGCAGGGGAATCAACAAAGCAGGCGTTGGCCGACATAGGACCGATCCCAACGCCCCAAAACGTGGTCCGAATGCCACCGGTCAACTGGGCCAAGTATCAAGTCGTAGGTGAACCATTGGATCGCATGCATGAAGACCAATTGCGGCGTCCGTCTCCTGGCGAGCCGAGACGTCCAGAAACCTCGCAACGGGCGCCTGAGCATGTCGTAGCCTCACCCTATCGGCCGTTGGTAGATAAATTGGATAGTCCAACACAAGTTAAAGGGACCAGAAAGAACAAGAAAATCTGAAGGGACACTGTCCATTTCCACAAGAACTGATCATTATTGTACATTCCATGCCAGATGGTCAAACCGATTCAGTCATAGCACATCATTTGTTGATTCATCATGTCATATTAACCCACCAAGAAGAGAAACAGCAGAGAGGGAGACACGCCAACATCTGGGACCAGCAGACCAGTTAGGATGAATCCAAACATCTGCAACGCTGCAGGGCAACTACACGTCCAGAATCTCTGCCAATGCTTTCTGAAGTCTGTCGTGCGCTCTCTGGACCCTCTCCGCCGGAGTCAGCTTGCTAGTTTCATCGTCCATCTGGTCGCCTCGCACTGCCTGGAGATTGGTGGGATTCGCGCCAGGGTTGTTCACCATCAACTGAGCATGCAGCTTGCGATGAATCTTCTTGCGGAGGTCCTCACGCTCCTCCATTTTGGCCTTCATTCTCTCCTGAACCGCTTTGGTGAACTCATGAGCATGAACCCAGGTCTGGGCCTTGTTACACTCCGGCTTTGTGTATCTGAGGATGGCTGCGATAGCCTCGTTCGAGAGAGGAGGCCCCTTGGTGGCTCCATCGTACACGGGCTGCTTGTGGTTGGTCTAGGATATGTGTGAGCGATGCTTGACGGGCAAGACCTCTGAACACTTACCCTCTGAGGTTTGTTCGGCCCTGGGAGCTTCTTGCCGACTTCGTTGCGGGCTTGGAAAGGCAGTCCGAGCGTGGCCTGTCGAGCTGCCTGGGACTGAGCCATCATCACCTTCGCAATCTCCTCGCGGTTGACGCTGACACGCTTGGAGGCTGGATTTGGCTTAGGCTTGGTCTCTTTGGGGCCACCCTTTGCTTTGACTTTCGGGGTATCCCCCTCGACTTCGCGGGCGTTGCGCTTCATCTTGGGATTCAATTCTTTTCCGTCTTCGATAGCTGAGGGGAGGAGCCTAACGATATGTCAGATCAAGTGCGGTGGTAGACTTGAGAGACTGACAGGATCTCGAGCGGAGGGGGGTGACTGAAGAGATGGCAAAGAGAAGACCAAGAGAGATGAATACAGATTAATGTCATGAGAAGTTCTACTTACCGTCGCATCTTAGTGTGTTGGTGTGCTTTGCTCGGCATGGCTCCGCTTGTGGTAGTGAGCGAATAGCAGTGGTGATGGCAGAGACGTTGCACGAAAAGCGAGTTTTGATGTGATGCGGACTCTCTTGTAGCCTTGGTAAAGCCCAGGGGTTGGAAGAATTTTTCTCTTGAAGGGTCATGCTGCCACGGCTGGGATGAAATAGTGAATGCGCAGTGGTCTCAGTCTGCTACCCAGCGACCAGCCTGCCTTCAAGGCTACGTCACAGCAGAACGATGACTGCTTGTCTTGAAATATCATTACCGGCTTCCTCGACGTTTATCGCCATGTCGGAAAGGATTCTAGGATTCATTTTGACGCTCTGTACATATACAAGGTATCAATCATCCAGCGGATTCCGATGCAGCTTCAAATCCGCCTCATCCCACTTAGACAAGTCATACTGGGCGTGAAGAGCCCAGCATTGTCAGGAACATAACTACATTGATCAGCTTGTCTAGTTCCAGAATCATCACTACGACCAAGCTGTCCTTGACAGACGAGAAATGAAATGAAAACCCGCTTTGAAAGTAACTTCCTCGTTTGGGGACCATGATTCAAAAAACGGTCATTAATATTCATAAAGCATGTTGCATCTCATAGCTCATCTCATAGCTGAAAGCTCCATTACCCTCCCCAGATCGGTCTCAGTCCCCTAGGCCATCCAATCTTCCTTGATCAAATCCGCCGCACGCTCTGCAATAGCGTAAAGGTTAGCCATCGGGTGTCCGCAAAGCTGAAACGGATGAATAGACGCATCGACAACGCGAACATTGGCCGTGCCGTACACCTGCAGCCGATTGTTCACAACTCCGCCTAGAGAACGGGGCATCATGGCGGCTGTGCCGATGGCATGGAAATTGGATGCATCTGCAGCACTGAGTTAGTCACCTCGCCAGGAAGAAGAGAAAATCACTCCACGTACAGTTATCTTTCAACCAGCTCGCCCACACCTCATCCGGGGCATTCCCAGGAACCGCCGAAAGACCAGGCCTTGCTTCCTCCTCAATCATTACCTGGAGCGGCGCAGAGCGAAACATCCGCCTGATGAACTTGGCAATTGCAACCTGCAGCTGGACATCCCAATCCAACAGGCCGTAATCGGGATTGATCGCGGGCTGGGCTGCCGGATCAGGAGAGCGGATGTGCACGTTCCCACGCGCTAAGGGGAGTAGGCCCCAGAACCCGGCGTTGACTGTCTTCTCGCCGCCGGGCTTGAAGATGATTTCTGCGATGGGGATGTTGTTCTTGAAGATGAGGTCATGCTGGACTTGGAATAGGTGCTGCAGGTGCTCGGGCTGCATGGCTCCGTTGCTCATGTTTGCGACGACCGCAGCGTACGAGGGGAGCTTGGTGCGTGTGAGGTTAGCGACGGAGGAGGTATTCTCGCTGAAGATGTCTGTGGCTGACGCGAAAGTGACGGTTCTGCCGCCGGTGATGGGTGAATGAGTCGACGCTGCCATGAGAGTGTTCATCTGATCCTGTAGGTTTTCTCCGACGCCCGGGAGTGAGACGTGAACAGGGATGTTGTGTCGATTGAGGATGCTATAAGACAGTTTCGGCGCATCAGCTCAAGTCCATTCATCGAGGATGTAGACTGACAAGCGGACTCACCGTGGATTCCCGATTCCTGACAGCTCAAGAATGGCAGGCGACTTAAGTGCCCCCGCCGAGAGAATCACCTCCCTTCTCGCCATCACAGCACTTACAGTGCCATTCTGTGCAGTAATCTCCACGCCAGCGGCACTGATGTTCTCTCCCTGGGACCCATCTCTCCAAACAATCCGATTCACTCTCGTGTTCAACCAGGCATGCAGGTTCGATCGCGACTCAAACGGCCAGAAATAAGCCCGAGCCGCATCATGCCGGGTATATGCCTCCTCATCGATGGTCCAGGGGTAAATACTAAACCCACGCATGCGCCCATCATTTACATCTACATTCCACGTAATCCCCGCAGACTGAAGCGTCCGATTCACAGCAGGCGTCAGATCGTTTCCACCCCTCTGCATATGCGGAAAGGCAACCTTGAGAGGACCGCGGAAGCCGTGCGCAGAGGCATCGTATGTGGCGCCTGCATCCGTCTGCACGGCTGTCGGCAAGGTCAGGTTCTCGCTCTTGAGGTAGTAAGGCAACAGGCTCGTCCAGTTCCAGCCGTCGTTGCCGATGGACTGCCAAGCGTCGAGTTGGACGTCCTCGGCACGCACGTAGGCCATTCCTAAACGCAGTCTTAGCTCTTATTCATATCTGGATTGGGATGATTCACCATTGATCGTGCTTCCACCACCCAGAGCTCGTCCGGCCCGGAGGATTTGTTTCTCTCCACCGAAGAGCTGTGGTTCAGACGTGAACTGCCAGTCTATTTCGGTACCAAAGGCACGGGAGTACGCGTCGACATCGGTCACATTTTCGTTGTCGAGGACTGATGGACCGGCTTCGATGATGAGAACGGAGACGCTGGGGTCCTCGGAGAGACGGTTGGCAACGACAAGACCGCTGACTCCTCCTCCGACGATAATGATGTCGTACTCGGGGGCAAGAGCAGCGACCAGAGTGAGAAGGAGAATGAACACACTGAGAATCATTGTGCGTGATGGGTGAGGTGCCTGTATGAACGAATTCAGGAAGAGACGAACGATAGAGGCAGAGAAGTGTGTGAAGATTAGCATGCTACTATTACTGTTTAGACGAGGTAGTGAGGGAGCAGTGAATGAAAGGAGTCTTGTCAGTCTAAAAGCTCAATATGTACAAATCTGCACTAGCGCAGGTGTCTCTATCAACAAGCACCCAACACATACCTACTATATCACAACTCAAAGCTTCGCATTTCTCTGCTTCTCAAACGCCTCTACAGCCCTCAACGAAGCCTCTGCCGCTGTCCCTTTCTTCACCTCCACTTTCTCTCTCCACGCCAGATTACCCGCATGGTTATCCAGGATGTCCAGCGTATGCCGGTACATCTCCTCCTTCATCGTACCATAAATCCCCGTTGCAGCCTTCGTCTGCAACCCCCGCTCCCGAATCAACTGCAGCGTCTCCTCAAGCCCACCGACGCCGTCCACCAATCCCACAGCAGCAGACTGCGGACCCGCGAACCGTCTCGCCTCAAGAATCAGATCCCGGAACGCGGACGGGGACAATTTCTCCCGGAAGATGCTCATCATGGGGCTCTGTAGAGGGACCCCGAACTCGAGCTCATTGATGCACAGAAAGCCCTTAGCCGGATTCTGGATCCGGTAGTCGTGGTACATGGCTAGCATGAGCCCTCCTGCGAAGGCGTGCCCATTTAGCAGGCAAATTGTTGGCATGGGGAACCTGCACCGTGTCAGTAATCTGTTGCGTTGTGAGATCTCAGAAACATACGTGAGAAAGCGCCGGAATAGCTTCCAGAGCCACCTATCGATGAAGCCCTCTGTGGTGGTTGCGAGTTCGAGGTCGAGCCCGTTGCTGTAGAACTTGGAAATGCCGCTTGTGGTGATCACGACGCCTTTGGGGAAGCGGTGTTCGATTATGTCTAAGGCAAGAACGAAGGCGTCGATGAATGTCGGGGTGAGTCTGTTGTCTTTTGGCGAGGTGAAGGTGAGGAGGTAGATGTTTTTCTCTTTCTCGGATGTGGTGGGATTAGTGCAGACGATGCTGCCTCCTGTGGAGGAGATGGGGACGGTGAACAACGACATGATGGTCTGGTAGTGGATAGTGCTTTAGTGATGTTTGACAGCGTTAAATTTGCAGATTTCACAGTCGTGAAGCTATGTACATCATTGTCAAGATGAAAATATGTAGTTTGATAAGTGGTAGAGATAGCTCTTTCTTGAACCTCGGTTGGACAGCTCATAGAACGAATTATAATCAACCCTTGCTACGGCTTGCGGTATATCACATGCTTGGGGCTCTGATAAAGTAATCATATCAACAAACGTATGCTCAGTTTCAATATATGTCCATGTTGATGATTTCTGCGTAGTCAAGCTGGATATGGGATGAAGTCGATTGTTTGGATGCACTCATGCTGTGCTTTGGCCTGAGGCTAGACATGGCTGCCTTGGGGCCACCCTGCACCATTAGCTCAGTCAAGGATGCTCATACGGGGCCAACACCGACAGGAGGCTATAGATCTCCTCTAGGTTGATGATGAAATGAGTCAACAAATCGAGGAACCTCCTTGCAGGGATGGAAGAACATCACCAATTAGAGTGGGACAAACAGGACAAAGACCAACAGTCGATTAAGTCTCCGAACCTCAGAGGAACTCTCCGCATTTCGATCTGGGAACTTTCCAAGGGGCTTCGACTAATCTCAGTGACATCTTCTAATCTTACCACCCTGTGAAATCACAAAATGGCAAGCATTGCATTCCCGGAGTTTGCCAAACTCCATACTCTGTCAACTTCCCATACATACAATTATGTCTACCGCGCAGCAACTGCTTCACGAGCAACCATCCTCTTCCTGCACGGGTTCCCGTCTTCCTGCTATGATTGGCGTCACCAGATCCACCATTTCATCAAACAGGGATATGGAGTCCTGGCGCCAGATCTACTGGGGTATGGCGGCACCTCGAAACCAACCGGGGTGGAGGAGTATAAGCTCAAGAGTATGGCGAAAGAGATCATCGAATTACTGGACCACGAGGGTCTGACACGGGTCCATGCCGTGGCGCACGATACTGGATGTAATCTCCTATCAAGACTAGCAGACTATTACCCCGACCGTCTGCTGTCATGCACGTTTATCGCCGTCCCCTACTCTAAGCCGGGACAGCACTTTGACTTGGACATGGTAAACAAGTTTACAAAGCAGGTGTTGGGATTCGAGAAGTGTGGGAATATTGAATACTTCGTCGAGGATGACGCAGGCAGTACTATGGATCAGCATGTGAGGGATGCACTCGTTGTGGGGAGAGATTTCTGGCTAACGTCGCATTCAATGACAGGCGGACTCGTTCTTCACGCTGTTCTACCCCGACAGCCCAGACTTGTGGAGTCAGCATCTTGGCCCTGTG